AATGAGAGAAATGGGTTTCTGTTATCGCTAATCTGCTCTCAAAGCCCCGTGAGGCTGTTTTTATTAACAAATTCAACACTCACCAGTGCCTTGGGAATTTTGGGCCCAGTTTGGAACTAATATGTGGGACAAGAGAATTCTGGGCATGAATTTCCTGTTGTACTTTCTGCCTCTACTACTCTGGGAGTAGCCCTGCCCAGAATGGGGACTGGGAATAGTTTTGCCTCTGAGTCCTAAGCAATTGTAAAAATAAAGGTATGTATGGAGTCTTGACTGACTCAGCCTCCCTAGATGTTAGAACTGGAAAACAGAGCCCCTCATGTTTCCAGTCAAGGATGCCAAGGTTACAGAAGGCATGTGACTGCCACAATGTTACCCAGAGGTCTACGATAAAGCTGGAGCAAGAACCTAGGTTTCCCCACCCTCAGGCCAGTGTCTCTTCTCCACCAGCCTGTTCACTCATCTTTGCTAAGCCATGCCTATCACTGTCCTTGCCACCCAAGCTGTCAGAGGGAAAGGCTGCCACAGCTTCCCATAGTCGTCCCCCGCTGTGACTAGATAAGGGACACTTTCTGTTACACTGGGGATTGTCTGGCTTGGAGACACCTTGGGACTCTCTCTGAAGAACTGATGTGGGGCACACTCAGTTTAGAAGCCACTTATATTCTGGTGGCAGTCTTTGCCTTGGAACCTATCAATGTGATGGAAAGCTTGAGGCCTAACTCCCTTTCAGGGAAGAATGGAGAGAAAAGGGCACAGCTCTTCCTTGAGGTAGGAAGTATGTGGAAGAATACCCAGTCCTTTTGGATTGCTATAACAAAATACCATAGACTGGATAGTTTATAAACAACAGGAACTTATTTCTCACGGTTCCGGAGGCTGAGAACTCCAAGACCAAGGTGCCGGCAGATGTCTGGTGAGGGTCCAAGTTAAGAGATGGTAATCTTTTCACTGTGTCTTCACATAGCAGAAGAGGTGAAGGATCTCTCTCTGGGGCCTCTTTTATAAGGCCACTAACCCCACTCATGAAAGCTCCATCCTCATGACTTAATCACCCCCTAATGGCCCCACCTCTAAATACTGTCACATCAGGGATTAGCTTTTAACATATGAATTTGGGGAGGAGGGGGCGTGGCAGACATAAACATTCAGTTTATAACAAAAGCAATCTAGAGTTTCTGAGGTGGATTTTGTTAGGGGACCATGTGAGGAATAAACGGTGGAGGGAATGACAGTCTAAGACAAAAGGGGAAACAGAGGCAGCATCTAGCATCTGAGTATGAGCTCAGCCTAGAGGATGGGAGGAGAATGACTAGGGGAAGGCATCAGGGGACAAGTAGAGATGACACCCAGAAGAAATTAAGGAGTTGGGGTGGAGTCTTCTGCTTCCACTCCCATCATGTGAGAGATGGATGAGGTTGAGACATGAAGCAACCTTCCATGAGAAGTGCTCACTGTCTTACCAGAGAGAGGAACCTTTGCTTTAGCACGTACACGGCAGCCCCTGGCTGGTCAGGGACAGAGACTAATGAGGCCATCTGCATCCTGGTTCCTGCAACTAAGGAAAACCATCAGCTTTGCAACCATGGAAAAGGTGAAAAAGTCAGGCTGTCAGTGAGTGTTCAGAGGGGCTGTGGGGTTGTGTAGGTTGTGTCAGAGAAATGTACGTTCTGTGCAGATTTGACTGGAGTTGTATATGTTCTGAGCTTCTTGTTGTGCATTATTAAAAAATAAGGTGACCCCCTTTCCCACAACCTCTCAGCCACCTTGCTTTCGCCCTATCTCTCCCCATTCTCCAAAAATCTCAGTGACTTCTAGTGACCACCAACAAAACAAAACAAAACAAAAACCTCATATTTCTTAGTCTGGCATTTAAAGCTAAAGATTCACCAGACATGTCTTGAATTTCCTGCCTCCACACATTTTACTTATGCTGTGTTCTCTGCTGCTTTCTCAACACCGGATCTTCACCAGTTGAAGTAATTTTCCAAGCTGAGCTCAGATGCTACCTCTTCCAGGAAGAGGTAGGACTTCTCTCTCCTCTGAAAACTAGAGCAATTTTTCTACCTCTTTTGTGACAGTGTTACAGTCTATCTTGCAGTTTAACTATCGAGGGGGATCTTTTAAATGGTAAGTCTTTGAAGGCTTATTAATATCTTATTTGTTTTCATATCCCTAGCACCTAGCACAGTGCCCTTTACATAGCATGCATGTAATTTAAAGTACATTGATTAAACAAATGAATGTATATGTTGCAGATATGGAGATGAATTAGAAAGCTTCTGTCCATTAAGGGGCTTACAGTCTAGTGTGAGAAAGAGATGCATAGCAATAAGAATTAATTGAAAATGAAGCCCAAGGAACAGTACATGACCTGAGAAGATGTGGGTTTTGGGTGGACAGAGATGGTGGCAAGGGGGAGAACATTCAGGTTGAAGGAACTGACTAAGTGGATGTGCATGCCACATTTGGGGAAGGTGGCATGTAGCCTTGGGACTGGCATATAGATAGCATGAAGGAAAATAGGTGATAAGGCCAGAGAGGGGATGTGGGCACTGAATCATGGAGGACCTGGTGTGCCTTTCCAAAAAATTTGGATTTTATTCTGGGACCATTGAATGAGGAGCCACTGAATGTTCTTGAGGAGTGTAATATTTAGGGAATGGAGGAATGACTCAGCACTGTGTTTTGGGTGGACACCATTCTTCGATAGGTCCATTTTAGGAAAATCTTGTGTTGAATTTTGAATTACATGCAGCACCCATTCTTGTGTTGAAAGTTTGAATTACAGGCAGCACCCATTCTCTGAGGCCAGCCTGTCCCCTGGTCAAACCTCCTCTTTGTGAGATTTTTCTCTTTTAAAGAGGCTACTCCCAAAGAACACTTGGTCAGATTGCCCTCTGAAACTGTCTTTCCTGACCCATCCCACAGGTTCCTCCCTCTGTTCTGGCTTTAGTATAGACATTCTTTTTTGGACTGTATTAGTCAGGGTTCTGCATTAGTTAGCATTCTTCAGAGAAATGTGTGTGTCTATGCACACACAATTAAATTTAATATAAAGAATTGGCTCATGAGATTATGGAGGCTAAGAAGTCCCACAAGCTGTTGTCTGCAACCTGGAGGCCCAGGAGAGCAGGCGGTATAAATTCCAGTCCAAGTCCAAGGGCCTGAGAAACAAGAGCACCAACCAATGTTGTAAGTTCCAGTCTGAGGAAGGCAGAAGACCAATGTCTCAGCTCAGACAGACAGGCCAGAGACACCCACTGACACCCACTGCCTCTCACTGAAAACTGAACTTTCTGAGCCTGGGACTGGCTTGAGCGCCCCACACAATTTTTTGACCTTTGCGAGTGGGGCTTAAGGAGTAGGGTAGGGACAACTTCCTATAGAGAAAAAAATCATAGACTTTGGAGTCAAATCAGCCCGGGGTTAAAGTACTACTATCTTAAATCACTTATTAGCTGTATGACCTTGGCAAAGTCACTAATCTTTCTGAACTTTGGTTTCGGTTTCCTTATCTGAAAAATGGGGATAATTATTTTAATTCCAAAGAATTAAAGTGAAGATGATGTGGGGGTTGCCTAGCTTGCCTGACAGAGGGGTTATTCAGTAAATTATAATTGTTTTATTTATATTTGCAGAGTTAAATAGAGGCTATTGTTCTGCATAAGAAAAGGAAAGCTGTGCTTGGAGTGATGTGTTGTTAGGTGCCTTAATTTAGGGGACCACAACTCTTTGCCTAGACTATCTTCAGAGGTCATTCCACAGCCCTCTTGGTGAGGGTGGGTACAGGTCTCCCTAGCATGACTTCCACTCTCATAACTCTGTCCTACCCCTGTCAGCGGCTGTGGGCTGTGGTCATATTTCCTAGTTAGGCAAGGGCCCAGCCTTAACTGAATAAAGACACTGTTGCAAAGACTGGGGAAGCAGACACTGTTGCAATCTGCCCTGCCCCTAGGAACCCCGGAGAACCTGTGGCTGGCCTTTAGCCCCACCAACTGTGTGTGTCTGAGGTGAGAGCCTGGGTTTCTGGGCCTTCCAGATAATGAGCAGACTAATAGGACATACTAGAGAGACGCCCTGCTTTCTGGAGCTGAGGTTAGAGTTTTCTCTTCAAAACCAAAGCCACAATTACAGATCTTTCTCGGCTGGGCGCTAAGGTGGTGCCTCAGGTGCAGGGAAGTAAGACTCATCCATGCCCTTGAGAGGCTCGCTGTCAGAAGAGCAGAGTCACACACACCTAACGCAAGAGGGTTTGAAGTTTGTACAGACCAGTGAGGTGGAAGCAGCAGGAGGGAGGTGCCATTTCTGTGGGTGTATGGGGTGGGAAAGTTAGGGGGAGGACCAGGAGAGTGATAGTTTAAAGAGATGGAGGAGGAAGGCAGGCCAGGCAAAGGAACCAACATGAGCAAAGGCTTGGAATGGAGGTGAAAATAACATGTTTATAAAAACGAACCCCCCACCCCCACCCCTGCTTCCCAGTTCTTGGGTGTGGCTGGAACACGAGGTGCTGGGCGGGGTAAGGCAGCAGGGAGGGGAGAGCAGAGCAGAGAGGCTGAGGCCTTAGTGTGAGTTGTGGGATTTAGGTTTAGCAGCAGGGGAGAAAGCAGCGTCAAGTTTTGGAGGTCACTCGACTTATGTAAGAAGTACAGACTGACATTGTGCTAGGCATTTTCTTTCTTAAAACAAATAGTTGTCGAGTGACTACTACGTGCCAGATGTTCTGGGCACTGGGAAATAGTGAAGATTCAGATTAAGCCTTCCCTGAGGGTAACCTCCTATTTAACGGAAGAGGAAACTGAGGGTCGGCTTGACGCCGGCTGCTGGCTCCGGCCAAGGCTTTTGAGGCGGCAGGTAGTCAGGCACTGGGTAGCCCCTTAGACGTCCCAGTGCACGTGGATAGGTCCGCTGTGGGTCGTCCGACTGCGCGCGCCGCCTGGGACTCTCCACTGCTCCGCCCGGCTGGGAGCCCGCCCCTAGCCAGACCCACACGTGGGATCCCGCACGTCCGCCCCTCTCCCCCACTCTTGACGTCAGCCTCACGAATCTATTTAAGGCCCCTCCTGGGCCGCGCTCCGACTTTCGGAGCTGCTGCCGCCAAGCCCGGATCCAGCGCTGCGCGCCACAGACGCCCGCCCACCGTGCACTCCCGGTACGGTAGGGCCAGGCGCGCTCTGCGCCCGTGGGGGCGGACAAGCGGGCCTCTCTGGCCAGGCGCTGCACGCCAAGGGGTTACTATTCCCTGGTGGTGTAGGTGCTGCTTCTCGGAGGCATAGTCGGGCGACCTCTGAGTGGTGGCCTACGCCAGGCCTGCGCGCGGAAGCCGCCGCGCTGTATTTGCTCTTAAGTTGGCGCCGTGGCGTCTGGTCCCGCGAAGCGGAACCGAGGAGGCGGCCGCACGTAACCTGGGGTTAAAAGCCCGAGTGGATGTAGGACAAGGAGATGACGGGTCTGAAGGGTAGGACATACTTCTGGGCTGGAAGTTCGGCAAACGGCGCAGAACTCGAGGTCCGGTTCCCGGAGCCCATGAAGCCGAAAAAGCCTCAGCAGCCTGGGCGGGTTCCTGGAACCCGGAAAGCCGCTGAGCACCACCTTCCCGGGTCGCATTTTAACCGTGGGACTTTCGAGAGGTGGGCTCCATGGGAGCGGCCGCTGCCGGCAGATTATAGGGCGCTCTTTTTGCACTAATTACATTTATTAAGCAGCTACTGATGTATCTTACAGGGTGCTGTGCTACGGCGCATGCAAAGATGAAGCAGGGTGTCTCAGCCCTCCTGCATCTCAGACGATCTTTTGACAAATGAGGAAACAACGCTGAGAGAGGGTTAGGGCATCTGCAGGTTCACAGTGAGTGGGTGGCAGAGTAGACCCTCTTCCGGCAGGGCTCCTCCCCTACCCGTGGCTCCACGTTAGAGGGAACGCTGGAGCCCAGGGCTTAGGATTTGGTGAAGCCAGGAGGAACTGCAGGAAGAACTCCCTTCCCCCTGCTAGGCTGCAGAAACCTTAAAAGGCTGTCTAGAAATAGCAGTGATTTGTAAGGAGAGACCCGATTCTAGCTTGGTGGCTCTGGGCCGCCTGCCTGGAAGTCGTCTCGGATATTTTTGCCCTTTGGGACAGGGTTAAGACACTAGATACAGTGAATGCAGTGCAGAGTTGGATTAGCAGAGTCGAAGGCCCGGACTCTGGAAACAGGGTTCCACCAAGTATCTAGCAACGTTAGGGTTCGAGGCTTCAGGCCTCTGCAGCTATTTCTGCACTTATGTGCTGACAAAATTTCCCCATACCCAGGCTTTGCTACAAGGATCACAGCAGAAGCCGCCCCAGGCTCCTTCCTCCTGGTTACTTAACAGCCCCTGGTATTGCGATTTAAATTCTGGCTCTGGCCACGCACCAGGCCTGGGAGGCTGCTAGCCGGGCCTCCGCGTGGTTCACGTCTGTTTCGGAGCACGAACACTAGTTAACTTTAAAGTCCAGGCTCGCTCCCTTTGGCCCTAAGAGCACGTTAGTTCCTAATCCGCTCCGCTCATGGGTGGGGCCAATGCCTGCCTACCTCTGAATAGTCAGCGTTCGCCAGACCGCTCGTCTTGCCCCACCGGGTGTGAAGTGCGCATGCGCTCACATTCCTTGGGAGGATGGGTGGGGGAGGAGGCGGAAGCTAACTTTTCCGGGTCTGAGCGTGGCGGCGTAAAACCTAAAGGCTCCTGGGGACCGAGCAGTTGGTCTGATCTCCGCCCCTTCAGGGGTGGGGGGAAATGAGTGAGCGCGCATGAGCAGAGCTCACTACCCGCCCCATTGCGTCTGGGTTTGGGCGGCGAGGCGGTTAAAAAGGCCCTTTCTGCACGTAACTCTGGTCCTTACTTGAAGGGCTTGTCAGGAGCCTTGTGACTGGAATAGAGGCTCACAGTAATCTTGTTTGAGAGAAAGCCAGCCCTGCGTAGGGTTAATAAAGCAAGATGAGTGCGCCTTCAGGAGGCTATACTTACACCCAAACGTCAATATTATTTTTCCATGCTAAGGTGAGGTCCTTCACACCAAGGTAACTAGACCAGACCCTGGCATTAGGACTTTCAACTCTCCTTTGGTTATATTTAGGTGTTTTCCCCTCCCCTTTTTAAGTCATCCCTTGTGATTTTTAGTGTCATGTACCCTAAAAAGAAGTGAAATAGCTTTTTCAGAACGGCTTTTGGTTAGTAAGTTTTAAAGAGGATGCAATGACAGTGCATGTTTTTCTCTAAATAGATTCCTTTTGGTTCTAAGTCCACTATGGCATCTCTCAAGGATCAGCTGATTGTGAATCTTCTTAAGGAAGAACAAAGCCCCCAGAATAAGATTACAGTTGTTGGAGTTGGTGCTGTTGGCATGGCCTGTGCCATCAGTATCTTAATGAAGGTAAGTGAGAGCCCATCACTCTGAAAGCTAAGGATGACTTAACCCTACCCGTCCCTCCACTCGCTCCCCAATAATTGCATTATCATATTGTACATACAAATATTGAGGTTCATGCACTCATTCAAAGAACTTTATGTGAAACAAACTTTGAAATATGCTATTACCAAAAGGGCATCAGAACTAAAAAAATCAAAGTTATTAGGCTGGCAACCTAGTTCCTTAAATATACTGTGCTGTATTAACATGAATGAATTGCCAACAAATGAAAGAGTG